GATGGATGAAGGAGTCCTCCCTGCTGTGTTATTGTATTCTGACAGCAGAACTCTGCTTTGAAAATACACTGATCTGCTCTGCGAAGGAAAATTTACCAACATTCCCATTCGAGAGAAGCGGATTGTTAGATCGATTTCTTTTTAGCAGGAATGGCAAAAGATGGATCGCAATTCTGTCGGCCCCTGCTGAACCAGTCCAATTTTCATCCATCTATGGCCAGCTTTAAGCAGAAGTCTTCTGTTCATAGACACCTCTGGCTGCGCCTTTTGATCCTGACAATGCTCAGAATGGAGGCAGAGAAGTGACATAGGAATCTATAGAGTGGAGTATTGGTGTTGCCTACCATTTGTCTTCATACAGCCAGTAACTGCCAATATAATGTGACAGAAGATTTGCAGAAGAATCTGTAAAAAAACAAAATGGTAAAATTGTTTGAATATGTATTGCAGGTTTTTGGCTTCATCTTTGCTTTGGGAACATAGCCTGTTACTACTTATTTGAAATGCATCTTCTATTAGAAAATATCTACAGATTTAATTGGGCTTCTTGTATGAGGAAGGCCTGTCGGCTAGAAATAGCTCATACCGCAGGACTCCGTTCACACAAGCATAAATTATTGGAGATGTTGGATTCCCATTAACCTGTGATTGTTAGTCTGCATTTATTTTTTTTTGTCACATTAAATTATGTTGATGGGTTGAAATGTAATTGAGCTAATTCTGAAGTCAGGTTCTTGTATGGAAAGTTTTTACTGGTATTTTAATAAACAGGTGCAATGCACCTAGGTCCCAGTTGATCTTCAGGGCTCTCCCTGTTACAGCCGTCTGCCTACCAGCTCTTAGAATAGCACTACTAAGGCTACCCATTTGGCTTTCATCACCCCCGCTGCAGCCCGGCCTTGCAAAACCATGAGTTTTAGTTCAGGCTTTATGACCTATGCAGCCTTGGTTTGCAGGCTCATTAAAAAGCAATGGGTGAGGGCTGGTCATATTGCATCAAACTAAGTCAAATTGTTCTGGATTTCGGAAGCATCTTCGTTGCATGGTAGCAGCAATCAAACAGCTGGTTAGTAGGAATGTTGATCTGAGAAGCCCCTGCCTGACTACAGCAGGAGGCCATGTCTAGAGGTTTCCACTAGATGGTAATCGTAAAGACAACAAGGTGCTCATCCAGTTAAAGTGGGTTAACCCACTCAATGCTCAAAGAATGCTCAGCAGTAATATTTTGGGAGTGCTATATTTCCTTTAGGCAAAAGCTTCTGAATTTCTGGCACAGTACGGCGCTCTGAAAAACAGATTTTACGTTATTGAACGCTTTACACTTGCAGTAATATGGCATACATGTTATTCCTTTTTAATTGTATATGCACCTCAATTCTTTTGACTTGTTGTCCTTTAGCTGGGTTGACATTATGAACACAGTAATTGCCATCTTTTTTTTTTTTTTTTTTTTTTTTTTTTTTAGTTAAGATTTTTACTCAACCTTTCAAAAAGCCTTTCACATTCTTTCTGAAAGTGTAAAATATATTTGATATTTTATATCCTTTAAAGCTGAATGCCAGGGAAGAATCAATCTGGGGCCATTTGCTGTCTAAAAACTGCCTCTTGATGCCAGCCCAATTTTGGCTGCTGCCCCAGTTGGTAGACCCTACAGTACTGTGAACACCAAGCGTTCAGCACTGAGGCACGTAGTTCTGCCAGTAATACACTGATCGCTTATTGTACACCTCCATTCAGAAAAGGTTTTGTATTCTTTTTGCTGATTTCAAGGCTTTAAAGGTGAGGGAATTGTTGTGCTTTATCTACCCCCACATCCAATCACAGAGTCTTTCATTCAGTGAAAAGAATACAAGGCCTTTTCTGAATGGAGGAGGCATACAACCAGCAACCAGCTATGATCAGTGTACTAGCGCCAGACGCTATATAGTTAATTTATTTTTACACAGCAAATGGCCCCAGATTGGGTTTTTTTTTTTCTGGAGTTTAGCTTTAAGTAACAAAAAAGTAAAGGGAAATGTGTGCATCTCGTTTCTTGAGAGTTCCACAAAGCTGGCTGTGTACGGCCACTCATTGTCTCTGTTCACAAAGCTGGCTGTGTACGGCCACTCATTGTCTCTGTTCACAAGTATGCACAGATTGTACTTTGCTGTTTCTTTGTTTTTAACCAATCAGTGTGCACAACTACTAAGCAGGAAGAGCAGCATATCTTTGTAAATAGCAAATATGGCTCCCTCCACTGTTTTATATAAATAATAACATATAAATAGAAGCAATGACAAAATGGCTTAAAGCTGATCACCTTTATATACCTATCTAAGAAAATAGAAATTTAAAAGATTCTAAGATTCCCTGTAAGTTTTTAAGCATATGCTGCGTAGTTATATATAGCTCCATGACTAGCAGCTTTGTCTATGTTTTTCTGTTCTTGCAGCAGGCTGCAAAGCTGTCCTTTGGGAAAAAAAAATACTTGGTAAAAAAGAACTGTTCCTTTTCATGTAAATATGTGGAATTTCCTTTCAGCTCCTTATACTACATTCAGACCCATGTTTCAGCTGACAAACTGATGAAAGCATTTCTGTGTTTGTGTTAAAGGCCAAGTTTAGGTAAAAAAAAAAAAAAAACAGCACAAGGGTCATTACATTTAATGCAAATTCTCCCTTGTGCTGGTGCTGGCTTTCATAATGGAAATCTGAAGTTCACTGCCTCGCATCCCATATATAGTCCTAATCTTCTGGTGCTGCAGGGGTTAATACCAGCGCTGGTCCTTTGACAGGCATTCATCAACATTGCCAGACTATGCCTACCTTTTCTGCCCCCCTCCTCCATTAAGAGAAGTAGTAATTTAACTTTTTTTTATATGAAAAGTGCTCTATGAATGGAGGATGGGTGGATGAATGAAGGTCCACCTTCTCCATACGTAGCGCGCTATAGTACAGCTTCTATGAATGCAGGATATTTTTGTGTGTTAGTAAGGCTGGTTCAGCAGAAACCTGCTGACTTTTGGTCAATGTGTACATCTATATGACAGAAGCTGGTCTAATGACTGGCGATTGTTAAAGGAACATGCTGGAAAACCAGCATCCGATCAGCGCTTGCAGCCAGTAGCTGCAAGTGCTGATCAGTGTAGTATACAGAGACAAAGTGGGAGAGATTGCTGCATCAACATTAGTTGTGTTAGTGCTCTGAGCTGTCATTTTTTTTTGTTTTTTTTTGTTCAGCCTGTGTGTACCCAACTGTTCAGGAAATGATCTAGATGACATTTGTGCATCTTGTACCTTTTTAAAAACAGGTTAGCAGTGGTATCTACCATATTTGACATGCTCACTTTAGGGCAGGGGTGTCCAAACTTTTTTCAAAGAGGGCCAGATTGGATGAAGTGAACATGGTGGAGGGCCGAACATTTTTCCGAACATTCTTTGAACCATAACAATTAAATGCAAATAAATTATTTTATGCCAAGTTAATTGCAAACTACATACTTTTCATTTCATAACATTAAGATCAACTGACAGCTGAGTTTTCACAATGTATTGAAAATAAATTTTAAAAAAACTTACCTGCACTAATGTGAAGGATGAAAAAGGTAGCTGGAGCTGAAGTCTCTGCTCGGCAGCCGGGAGGGGAAGAGAAACACACTTCACGCTGGAAGCCCGGCCCTGACGTCACCGCCCTCTGTCGTTCCCAGCGCGGCGCAGTCACGCATGCGCACTGCTCTCAAGCAGAAGACTGTCTGCCACAGAAGGGAGGGCCGTGCGACAGCCGCATTTACACAGACCAGGGAGAACGCGCCGCAGTCAGGCATGCGCACTGCCCTCTGCTCTCAAGCAGAAGACTGTCTGCCATAGAAGGGAGGGCCGTGGGGGCCACATTACACAGAGCAGGGAGGGCTGTTGGAGGGCCGTATTAAACCGACCCCCGGGCCATAAATGGCCCGCGGGCCAGACTTTGGACATGCCTGCTTTAGGGGAAATGCAACTGCATATATCATTTGGAGGTATTGCTTTTACTGCAGATTTTCAAGTGTAAAAATTTGTACTGTTTATGACTCATTCAAGACTGAAGGTTCTATTTCATGTGTAATAAAGAAATATATACTTGTTCAGTCATTTGAGCTTCGGAAGATTTTACCCCCCATTCGTGAGCAAGGCATTTTTTGCTATTTAGCTCTGTGCTACTTTAACTGTTAATTGCACGGCCATGCAGTGCTGTACCCAAACAAAATGTATGTAATGTTTTCAACAAATATAGGTTTCTTTTGGTGGTGTTTTATCACCAATTGGGTTTTTAATTTTTTGTGATATAAACTAAAGACCAAAAATTTTGAGGAAAAAAAAAAAAAACTTTTACTTTCTGCTAAAAAAACATATCAAATTAAAAAAAAATCTAATTTCTTCTAAAATTTTTGCCAAAATATATTATGCTACATGTCTTCGATGGAAAAAAAAATCCCAATAAGTGTATATGGATTGGTTTGCATGAAAGTTATAGCATCTACAAACTATGGTGTGTATATATGCTGGAATTTGTTTTTCTTTTCATACTACTAATGGTGGTGATCAGTGACTTATAATGGAACAGTGTTCGTGCGGCCTGGCCATGAAGGGGGTAAAACTTCCAGAGGAGTCAAGTGGTTAACATGTAAAAACTAAAGTAGTAGTTTTTTTTTTTTTTTCTTCTTCTTCACATACCCACGCTTCTGTATATTCGCCGCCCCTGGTCCCAGTAGATCCGCTACTGCTCCTGCAAAAAGGTTCTCCTCTACTCCCTTTCTTTCAGCATTAGCCAATCCGTGCAGATCATGGTTATAAGGCTTTGTTAGTTAAAAAAAAAAAAAACTCCTAGATTCAAAGCAAATTTGTCAAGCCCTTAGATATATACACTATATTATTATTATACAGGATTTACTATATTGCCAAAAGTATTGAGTCGCCCTCCAAATCATTGGATTCAGGTGTACAATCACCTCCACGGCCACAGGTGTATAAATCAAGAACCTAGGCATGCAGACTGCTTCTACAAACATTGTGAAAAAATTGGTCGCGCTCAGGAGCTCAGTGAATTCTAGCGTGGTACCATGATAGGTTGCCACCTGTGCAATAAGTCCATCCATGAAATTTCCTTGCTACTAAATATTCCAATGTCAACTGTTAGTGGTATTATAACAAACTGGAAGCAACTGGGAACAACAGCAACTCAGCCACGAAGTGGTAGGCCACGTAAAATGAGAGAATGGTGTCAGAACATGCTGAAGCTCACATTGTGCAGAAGTCACCAACTGTCTGCAGAGTCAATAGCTGAAGACCTCCAAACTTCGTGTGGCCTTCAGATTAGCACAATAGTGCGTAGAGAGCTTCATGGACTGAGTGTCCATGGCCAAGCAACTACATCCAAGCCTTACATCACCAAGTGCAATGCAAAGAGTCGGACGCAATGGTGTAAAGCACGCCACCACTGGACTCTAGAGCAGTGGAGACGTGTTCTCTGGAGTGATGAATTGCGCTTCTGTGTCTAGTAATCAGATGGATGTGTCTGGGTTTGGCAGTTGCCAGGAGTGCAGTACTTGCCTGACTGAATTGTGCCAAGTGTAAAGTTTGGTGGAGGGGGATTATGCTGTAGGGTTGTTTTTCAGTGGTTGGGCTTGTTTTTCAGTGAAGGAACGCTTAAAGCAACAACATGCCAAGACATTTTGGACAATTTTATGCTCCCAACTTTGTGAGAACAGTTTGGGGATGGCCCCTTCCTGTTCCAACATGACTGCACCAGTGCACAAAGCAAGGTCCGTAAAGACATGGATGAGCGAGTTTGGGGTGGAGAAACTTGACTGGCCTGCACAGAGTCCTGACCTCAACCCGATAGAACACCTTTGGGATAATTAGAACAGAGACTGCGAGCCAGGCCTTCTCATCCAATATCAGTGCTTGACCTCACAAATGCGCTTCTGGAAGAATGGTCAAACATTCCCATAGACACCTCATAAACCTTGTGGACAGCCTTCCCAGAAGCGTTGTAGCTGTTATAGCTGCAAAGGGTGGGCCAACTCAATATTGAATCCTACGGACTAAGACTATATATATATATATATATATATATATATATATATATATATATATATATATATATATATATATATACACACACACACAGACACACACACACACACAAAAATATGAAAACACAACATTATTTGCAGGTGTGAAAGTGACGACATGTTTCATGTTGGCAGCATACGTGATGTAACAGTCTTTTGCTTCTGCTGTGTGATGAGACACCTAGCTAACAGATGGGAAGCCTCACTTTTATCATTAACTGCGTGCTCTGCTAGTAATACAGAGTCATGTTAGAACTTACTGAACTTAAAAGAGGGCAAATTGTTGGTGCGCTTAGCTGCTCCCTCTGTGACTGAAGTTGCCAATTTACTGGCCGTGTCGCGAGGTACAGTATCAAAGATTGAGGCATGTACAGTTTCCAAAAAAAAAAAAAAGTCTGATGAGCATGAGTGCAGTCGACAGTCAACTGAGAGAAAGAGAGAAAAGGACATTGTGCAGAATTGTGACCCGAGATAAGAAACCAAAAGTAACTGCAGCGCTTTATCTCAGTCCTGTGTTTCCTCCCACACTGCATACATGTAAAGTGCTGTGTAAATTGACGACACTATACAAGTACCTGAAATAAATTTAGGTAACATCGTGCATGCACAAAGTTGGACTGAGAGGTGCATATGTCAGCACGGTGAGCCTGTTGCACTCTAGTGCCCTGCACAGTGCATGCATCCTAACATGTTTCAGACTCTGAAGGGTTAGAGGGGTTGTTGTTGTTCAGATGGCTGTCAAAGTAGTAGAGAGGAGATGCAAAGAGAACACAGGAAGGTCCTCACTTTATTCAGAATAGACTTGTTGCTGACCAAGGGTAAGGAATAAATAAACAGTGGGAGAAATCAAAATTTCAGTAAAAACAAACTGGCTGGAATTTGTTTCTCTGACATAAACCCCCTATTTAAACCCAAAAACAAACCTGTTCTGCTTTCCATGTGGTGTGGTGGCTCCATTGGTTTTCTTTTTTTACCAGGTTTTTTTCACCTTGCTCACTGTACAGTATGTCTGCTTGAGCAGCGTTGTTTCCCATGCTGCTCTCCTGATTTGGACTGCAGTTATCCTTTTTCTTCACCTCATTTATGTTTGATTTGGACTGCAGCCAACCTTTTTTCGCCTCATATTTGATGGGGATGTTCTTTAGCTCACAGAAGATTGCTGATGAGATTTTTTAGAAATCTCAGTTCTCTGCACAGGAAGTCTCAAGGATGCTGGATTTCTGGCAGGATCAACATGTATTTTTCTATACTTTGCAGAAAATGTACCTTTCCTAAATGTTATTTAAATATACTGTATATATACCATGGAAATAAATGGCCTTTAAATTACTTAATCCCCTTCTATATTATCTCGCAGCATTGAAGTGTTTTTTTTTTTGTAAGTACACAAATTGATGGACAGTTGTTGCTTATGTTTTTCAGGGCCCTCCTACCGATGCTCCTGCAGTGGACACTGCTGAACAGGTGTATATCTCCTCTCTGGCTTTGCTTAAGGTAAGAATTTTGGTATAGAGATCAGAGCTTTTTCCTTTGTAATTACTGAGATATCCAAGGTTAATCTTTAAGGGGGTTTGCAGTTCCTGTTTATTACTTTTTGAAAAAGGTATACTAAGCCTTTAAGATCAAAACCGTATCAAAGTAGCAAATGCATCAACACAGATCTAATCGGTGTGCTTTTACTAATTTTTTGCAATGATGCTTCTAGAGCAATGCACCTGTGATCAGTGTATTGCAGGTCCAATACACAGGCCTTTTCAGCATTTTTCCCCATCCTCGGGTCCATTCGGACCATACTCATGGGCCTGGATGAAGTGCAACTGGAATACAGAGCTATGTAGTGCTTAAGAGTGAGATGGGTTGCTGTGGGGGCAGATGGGACATGTATGAATTCACTGAGTGTTTGCAGACCCGGATGACATGGCCGTGCGGGTGAAGCTATACACAGCTGTGCTGAATTCAAATGATCATAAAATGCTCCATGAAGAAGCACCCTTTGCTTCAGGAAAGGAGAAATGGCAGTTTGGGTTTTAGTGATGTGACCATGGTTCATATTACACACTAAATATGGTTGTAACTTGAAACATAGTATAAAATCTGAACTTAGACTTTAAATTGGTGTCTGTTAGTTTATTCTCCTAAAGTTTATTCAGCTATGGGATGTGGGCATTACCAGTGCAGAGCTTGCTCAGGAATGGCAGCAGGGAGGTGTGAGTGCATCTGCACGCGTGGTGAGGCAAAGACTTTTGGAGAAGGGCAGCTAAGAAGCTACTTCTAAGCCACTTCTCTCCAGGAAACACATCAGGCACAAACTGATATTCTGCATAATGTACAGGGATTGTACTGCTGAGGACTGGGGGTAAAGTCATTTTCTCTTAATCCACTTTCCGATTGTTTGGTGCATCCGGAAAAAACCTTGTCCGGAGAAGAAAAGGTGAGCACTACCATCAGTCCTGTGTCATGCCAACAGTAAAGCATCCTGAGACCATTCATGTGTAGGGTTGCTTCTTACAATTTTTCCTAAGAACACAGCCATGAATAAAGAATGATACAAAAACATTCTCCGAGAGCAACTTCTATCAACCATCCAAGAACAGTTTGGTGATGAACAAAGCCTTTTTCAGCATGATGAAGCACCTTGCCATGAGGCAAAAGTGATAACGAAGTGGTTTGGGGAACAAAACATCAAAATTTGGCCAGGAAACTCACCAGACCTTAACCCCATTGAGAATTTATCAATCCTCAAGAGGCAGGTGAACAACCCCCCCCCTCCCCACAAATTCTGACAAACTCTTTAAGTATTGATTATGCAAAGATTGGCTGTCTTCAGTCAGGATGTGGCCCAAAACTTGGTTAACCGCTTGCCCTCCTGAGGATTTACCCCCCTTTCAGGCCAGGCCATTTTTTGCGTTACGGCGTTGCTTTACTTTAACTGACAATTGCGCATGCATGCAACACTGCACCCAAATGAAATTTACGTCCTTTTTTTTCCCACTAAGTGAACTTTCTTTTGGTGGTATTTGATCGCCTGTGTGGTTTTTATTTTTTGCGCTATAAAAAAAAAAAAAAAAAAAAGGAAGAATTTTGATTTTTGGTATTTTGAGAAAATAATATTTTTGACTTTTTGCTATTAAACATGTTCAGTAAAAAAATTTAAAAAAATAACATTTAGTCATAAATTTGCGCCAAAACATATTCTGCTACGTGTCTTTGCTAAAAAAAAAAAAAAATCCCAATACTTGTAAATTGGTTTACGTTAAAGTTATAGTGTTTACAAAAAAGCAACATAGATACTGGAATTTTTTTTTTCACTAGTAATGGCGGCGATCAGAGACTTATAGTGGGACTGCGGCGGGCATTCTGACACTGGGGGGAACTGACTTGGTGTCACTGATATCCCCAGTGACACCAATACAGTGCTATAAAAAAAAAAGCAATGACACTGTACTAATGGCACTGGGCAGGAAGGGGTTAACATGAGGGCCAATCAAAGGGTTAACTATGTGCTGGGAGTATTTTATTGTGGGGGGGGGGGGGTGTTGGTGCTTCACTGTAAGCACACTGCTCTGGATGGCTGTGCTGTGCACAGACATCTAGAGTATTGTGCCCGAGCCGACAGAGGACTGTTAGTAAACAAAGCAGTCCTCCTCACTGTCGGAGATGCTGGTTAATCACTGGGTGTCGGTGGGGAATCACCGGCTGGGACCCGGTGATTGACGGCCGTGAATGGCGGATATACAAAATCACGTATGTATACGTGATTTTGCGCACCCTTGCCGCTCTGTAGCAGTATATCTGCTGTAGGCCGGTCGGGATGTGATTAACAGTATGCCAGGGCGAATTGCAGAGTTCTTGAAAAAGAAGGGTCAACACTGCGAATATTAATTCTTTTATATAAACCTAATGTAACTGTCAATAGAAGCCTTTGACACTTATGAAATATTTGTAATTATACTTCAGTATACCATAGTAACATCTGACAAAATAGATTTAAAAACACTGAAGCAGCAGACTTAGAGGAAATTAATATTTGTGTCATTCTCTAAAACTTTGGCTGGGGCTGTACACATAGATGAAACAAATCATCTTACATACGTTGTACCTGTTTATATGCAGTCTTCTCTTCATTACATTTGTTCAAAGTGCAGAATTTATAAAGCTTGTCTGAGCTTTCAGAAAACAAGGGGCAGAGAGCTGAACTTACAAACTGCAGAGCTCAGTGTGGAGAGCTCTGAGAACCGAGGGAAGAGAGACACCCCCTCCACACAGCTCACAGGAACAGAGCTGAAGCTGTCAACCAGCTGGGGATCCCTCTCCTGACACCATTTTCTTTTGGTGTCAGAAAAACTTGTCCGAAGCAACAGAGGAAAGAGGCAGCAAACAGACATTACACTTAGTGCTCTGGATAGAGATAAGTACACACTATATAAGGATATGCTTTGTAAATGTCTTGCAACCACTTCTCTTTTCTGGCAGTATCATGCTCACTGTTCTCAAGAGATGGGCTCTTTAATGAAGCAGGTTGCCAATATGTTTAACCCCCTCCCGCCCGCCATATAGTCCAATGACAGACGCAAGGCGGTTCTCTCGTTCTGGGAAGACATCATATGACGTCCTCCCATTCTCACCGTGCATGTGCGGCTCCGGGAACGTGCAGCACGGCGATCAGCGGTGCGCTGTGTCCCTCGGACACAGTGGATCACCGATCCACGGAAAGAGCCGAAGATGTTGGCTCGGTCATGTGATCAGCTGTGTTCAATCACAGCTGATCGCATGTAAACAGGGAAATCCCCGATATTGGCATTTCTTACCTCACGAGCTATCATGCTGACAGGTCCTGAGGAGAGGACAGCCAGTAATCGGTATTCCTCGGAGGGGGGACATGTGCGCTGATCATCAGGGCACTGAAGATCCATATGCCCTGATGATCAGTGTAGCCCAGCAGTGCCACCTGTCAGTGTCCATCAGTGCCAGCTCTCAGTGCTCTTCCATGCCACCTGCCAGTGCCCATCAGTGCCACATATCAGTGCCTACCAGTGCACATCAATGCCACATATCAGTGCCCATCTGAGCTGCCTTTCAGTGTCGCCAGTCAGTGCCACCTATCAATGCCAGTCAGTGCTGCCTATCAGTGCCCGTCAGTGCTGCCGGTCAGTGCCCATCAGTGATTCCTGTCTATGCCCATCAGTGCCTCCTCATCAGTGCCACCTATCAGTGTCCATCAGTGCAGCCTATCAGTGCCCATCACTGCAGCCTCATTAGCACACATCAGTGAAGGAGAAAAAGTTTTATAACAAAAACTAAGAAAAACGTTTTTGTTTTTTCAAAATTTTCAGTGGTTTTTGGTTTATTTAAGAAAAAAATAAAAAACCCAGAGGTGAATAATACCACCAAAATAAAGCTCTGTCACAAAAAAGTGATAAAAATTTCATATGGGTATAGTGTTGCATGACCACGCAATTGTCATTCAAAGTGCAACAGCGCTGAAAGCTGGAAATTGGCCTGGGCAGGAAGGGGGGGTATAAGTGCCCTGTAGGCTAGTGGTTAAAGTAAACCCTTCATGAGATAAACATGTTGGTGCTGCCCTGGAAATTAAAGTTGCCTGACTAATATTCCAACTGGTAGATCAAACCACCTCCTATCAAGATAAAGCTTTGGGCTGTTTGTATTTCAAAGTTACTCTTTTAAATATTGCCAACATCATAAATCCTACACAAGGAGCATACAACTCATCTAAATAGTCTAGGATTTATTTATTTTTATATCTTCTTGGGTTATACGGTTCCATTTAGAATTACATCTTTGTCTCCTCCATACATCTACAGTATATGATTCTTGAACAATTTATAGGTTACATACAGAGGAACTAACCTTGAAAAAAATGAATTTAACATATCTATATAGTTGTGGATTTTATGATTAGTGGTGAAATTCCATTGACCTCATACTTTCCCTAGCGTACACAGGTCCTTTTTGTATTAATGGTTTCCCTCTCATTCTAGATGTTAAAGCATGGACGGGCTGGTGTCCCCATGGAAGTGATGGGACTGATGCTAGGGGAGTTTGTGGATGATTACACAGTCAGAGTTATTGATGTGTTTGCCATGCCTCAATCTGGAACCGTAAGTCTTTTTTACTTCAATTGCATTTTATTTGATTTTTTTAACTAAAAATAGTCTTTTACTTTTTTTTTTTTTTGTGTGCAGAGAATAGAACATCTGCCTTTTTTTCTGTCTGTGTCCCATTAGGGAGATTTTCCTTTAGGCCTCATGCAAACTGATCGTTTGCTCAACTCTTCTGAATGCCTTTTCTCTTGGAAGGAAAAAAGCTGCTTAAAAAAATGCAGTCATACCCGAGTATTGCACACACGTTTAAGTGCTATTGCACACATTTATGCGCTTTTGTTCAGTATTGCATTCTATAATAAACTATTATTCTGGCAATTAGAATGTATTAACGAGAAAAACGGGAAAAAAAAAAACCCACCAAATGCCTGTGAAAGCAGTGTTTTTAAGCCCAGTGTGCATGAAGCATTAAGTAATTGTAAAGGGGGAAGGTTGTTTTTTTTAAATAATAAACATATTATACTTACCTTCTCTGTGCAATAGTTTTGCACAAAGCAGCCCTGACCCTCTTCTTCTCTGGTCCCCCGCCAGCACTCCTGTCTCCCCCCTCCCTTTTGAGTGCCCCCAGCACTCATGTGGGCTCAATCCCGAGCTGTGCTGTTTGTTTCCACTGATACCTGGCCCCCATTCCCACCTCACTGAGCGAGCCAGGACCATCTCTGTAGCAAAGATGAGGAGAAAAAAAAAAATATAATGTGTGTGTGTTTGTGTGTATACGTGGGCTCGCTCGCCCCCCCTTTCCTGACCTGCTGAGCTGCATGCTCGGATAAGGGTCTGGTATGGATTTTGGGGGGGACCCCCACACCATATTTTTTTTTTTTTTTTTTTTAATTTTGGCGTGGGAGTTTCCCTCAATCTATACCAGACCCGAAGGATTCTTGGACAATTTCATGTTTCCAACTTTGTGGGAACAGTTTGGAGATGGCCCCTTCCTTTTCCAACATGACTGCGCACCAGTGCACAAAGAAAGGTCCATAAAGACATGAATGAGCGAATTTGGGGTGATCCAGTAAAAGATAGTGCAGCGCTAAAAGACATAAAATCAATAATAATCTAATAAATAAATCATGCAATTGTAACACACAATGATTAGTGATGAGATCTATATGGTGTACATAATAACTAAAGTGCTCAAAAAGTGCATACTGAAGTCATCTCCACACCTCCTACTAACAGTAGGTATATCATGAATCTCCTACAATTGGGGAAATAACACACTAAGTGACTTGTGCAAAATAAATACCATACAGTGACCAAACTAATAATAAATAAATACCAAATCCAATCATATAATAAAATGGTAGAAAATATATATACTTAGCAAATAAAGTCTCTAATGGTCCATAAATCTTCCAAACAATTGTGCTTCAAAAACAACCTTCCATGCAGAGTGAAAACTTTGTGAAATTTGTGATTGTGTCAGCACACATATCCTCAGTGGCTAAATTGCCCCCTCACCTCCTTTTAGCAACCCACTGGGCCACCTTGATTTCAGGATCAATGCGTTGGTACGAGGTGATGCAGCTTCCGGTACGCGGTGACGCACATCCGGATTGGACGCCATCTTAGGACACCCAATATTCCTAACCCATGTTACACTGTTAAGGTATCAGTGTAGAGTGTTGGCAGCTTCAGTATTTAGGTATCACTTCCTTTAAGCGCAGGAGGAATTTTCCAGTTGATTCTATAGAGTTTGGGGTGATGGAGCTTGACTGGCCGGCACAGCGTCTTGACCTCAACCCAATAGAACACCTTTGGGGTAAATTCTAGCGGAGACTGCAAGCCAGGCCTTCTCATCCGACATCAGTTCCTGACCTGACATGCGCTTCTGGAAGAATGGTCAAACATTCCCATAGATACACTCCAAAACCTTGTGGACAGCCTTCCCAGAAGAGTTGAAGCTGTTATAGCTGCAAATGGTGGGCCAACTCAATATTGAACCCTATGGACTGCCATTAAAGTTCTTGTGCGTGTAAAGGCAGGCAGGCGTCCCAATACTTTTGGCAATTGTGTGTGTGTACACAGGGATTAGACAAAAATATGGAAACGCTACATTATTTGCAGGTGTGAAAATGACATGTTTCATGTTGAAAGCAGAAGTGCTCTAACAGTCTTTTGCTTCTGCTGTGTGATGAGACACCTAGCTAACAGGTGGGAAGCCTCACTTTTGTCAGTAACTGAGTGCGTTATGGCGGTTATGACGGCATATACAGTTTCCTAAAAAAAAAGTCTGCTGAGCAAGTGCAGTGTATTCAGATGAGCGAAAGAGGCAAAAGGACAATACGTTTCGCAATATAGTGTGTGTATATGTGTGTGTATATGTGTGTGTGTGTATATATATATATATATATATATATATGTATATGTGTGTGTGTGTGTGTGTGTGCGTATATGTGTATATATATGTATATATGTGTGTGTGTGTGTGTGTGTGTGTGTATATATATATATAAAATACTTTTTTTTTTTTTTTTAATCTTTCTGCAGAGATGGTCTTGGCTCCCCTTTTTTTCTCTGCAGTACAGCACAGGGCACCTTTGTGTCTTCTCCTCTGGCAGTAGCTTTGTGGGAACTATTGGATGAGCAACAATGAGCCTTAGTGGACATTTTATTGTGGCCAGCTGTCGTTTTAATGCCCCTGTAGTTTTCAGTAGTACAGGGTTGTAACATAATGATGCAGCCGCCACAGTCAGTGATCTTTACTATTGGCCCAAACCGCACATCAGCCACGCCCACAGAAGCTTGAACTGCAAAGACTTCTGGCACATGCAGTCACCACTGCTTTTTGCTCACCACCATACCACTCAAAGGAGAAGAACAGAACTGGAGTGGTCAAGCTACCACTGCATTACATTCCTATAAAATAGTTATTCAGCTAAATAGGAATAAATAAAGAGCATACATTGTTCATGGAGAGGGGTTTAGTGGAATTATGTACTTGGATGTTTGTAATTCTATTTTAAAGTACAATTGTTGAGGCTGCTTTATCTCAACATCTGTGGCTCTCATACTTTATTTGCCATATGCCAGAACAGGATGTGTAGAAATGTTAAAAATGTCTGGCCCCTGATTTTTTTTTTTTTTTTTTTTTTTTTTCCTGCCTTCTAAATGCTTGATGAATTTGGGCAGGCTTGACCACATCCAAAGTATGATAGGTCTCCCTTTTCAGTATTTATAATAGACCTAAATTTACATTTTTAAAATGTACAAGTTCAACCGCAAAAAAATGTTTGGAAAAAAAAATGTGTGTCAATGAATACCCTTGCATGATTTAACATTTAACAATACCAGTTATATTGTTGCCATGAGTGTTTTTTTTTTTCCTGTGGGTTGTTCTAGAGCATGGCTTTGAGTTTAGCTGCTTTTCGGGAATTTTCACAAAATATATTTTGTGCAGCCTAAACTGCCTTTTTCCATAATGCCATCGCTAATGTTTGGATTGGCCTTACTCATAACTGTGTAGGCTTTCTACAAAACTGTCATGTTTGTCACAAATTGCTCCATTTGCTAATTAACTTGATTTTAGAAGATGAATCCTGCTTCCTTTAACAGTTTTGTGTCTTGTTTTGTAACAGCAATAACCCTTTACCATTAGCTAGCTGAACAGCTTGGTTTGCAACTATCATCCCCTGCTGCAAATATTGAAATAAATTGGGCATATTTTCATTATATACATGTTGATTTATTTTTAAAAATTGGAAAATCATGTTGTGTAGTTCCTTCTCATACAAATAAACCTAAAAGCTAGGGTTAATTGATGGTAATTGTGTCTTATAGGGTGTTAGTGTGGAGGCAGTGGATCCCGTCTTTCAAGCCAAAATGTTGGACATGTTGAAACAAACTGGAAGGTAAGATATTGCTTTAGTACCATGTATGTTAACACTTTTGCTGCCAGAGCCGCTTTTGCATTTTTTACACGTTTAAAATCTAAGTTTAGGCCTACAGATTAGTTAAACCCCCCAAATTATGATATACCCTACATACATTATAGACCCCGGAGGATAAAATAACTCAAAATTTCAATAAAAAATATAGCTAATTTTAGGGCACAAAAAGCAATATATTACCCATTTTTGGTAGAGTATAAAAGATAAGGTTGCGGTGAGTAAATAGACACCCAACAAGTCAAGCTTTAAATTTGTGCGTGGCCAAAGAAAGACACACTTCGGTACCC